ATTATTGTTGTATTGTTGTAAATATGTTAAAAGTGAAATATATGGTTAATAAAACCTGACTACAATGACTGGTGAGATTTTAATGAGCAGCTGTCTCTTCTGTTTGGGAGCCTGCCATGCGTCAGTCTGTTATTTATTTTAGATGCTCATTTGGTTATCAGGAGTGTTCATAAGAGGTCTCAGTGGAGAGACGTCCAATCAGCAGGCAAGACAGGAGCCTCACTGGGCTCTTCTGTCAAGCTGCTGCATCCTGCAATTCATCCCCCGTCTTAACTGTGTGGCTGTGCTGCTATCTTGAGCTCGAGATGAAAATATATTACATTTCAAGTCGTCCCTGAGCCAAATGGTGTTTACACAAGCATACCTCGTTCTAAAGTCCTAAAGTCTGAGATGCTGTGTTGCAGTCTGGGTCGGAGGGAGGGCCGGTAAAATCCCACCAAACTTCTTAGCTCTCAGTTGACCCAAATGACTAAAGCGATGACTCCATGCAGATTCCCTAAGACCGGAGACTCTGAGCTGAATGTCTGATACCAGTCAGGAAGGCACCGTTTCCCCCGCACCTCTTCGTCCAAGTCAAACACAGACACACAAACACAGACACACAACGTACATCATGGAGCATGGGAGAAAAGAAAATCCTGTCTCTGACTCCCCTTATTGTTTTGTCCATTTTACGACACACCTGACAACACAGATAACACACCTGACACCTGACAACACAGTTTGCCTATACAAAATGTAATCAACATATTTCTCATCTTAAAACTGAGCTTAGTTGTGTCCTCTCACAATCATGATTGACTTCTGATCATACATCACCAGGAGAGAATTTGCTCTCCCCGTCGACATAATGATTAGCATGTTGCTTGTTGACATACGTTTAATTGATTAAAACAGCCCTGCTGTGATTTCGCTGTTTTGTTTTTAAAGGGCCGGGGCTCTGACAGAAATACTCCGGGAAGTATTGCATTTGGCGGCGAGCTCGGGTTCCCATGCACGAGAGCGCTGAACCTAATTCAAAACGCCTTGGACACAAGGCTGACTGTTGGGCTAGTAGGAGAGGAGAGATAGCTGTAACCTTGCATTGAACTCCCAAGAATCTCCGCGTACTCTTTGGACTGCGGCAGCAGAAAATACTTACACGATTTATTTATGATTTATTGGCTGAGTTTCAAAGCCCAGACCCCTTTAGGCAGAGGGCTTGGTAATTAAATTAAGTTTCCTTTAGAGACTCACAGAGATGTTCCTTGAAAAAAAAAAAATGGCTTTGCGTTTACAAAAAAATATTCTATACCGAATATAGATTTTATTGACAATGCATGGAATAAAAGACTTTCTCCATTCAACTAGGTGGAAGCAAGGGATCGTGTAGGTCGTAATAAATGAATGGAGTAAATTGCAGTTAATACATAAATCAAAAAACAAACAAAGAAATCAAACAATGTGTGGCTGGACTGCATTATCAGGGAGGTTAGTGTAGCGTTATGCATGAAAAGAATAAATTATAACAAATTATGGACCAAATTATGAATAATCCACCACTGGACACACACCAATTCTACATTCTACAACACTCACACTTACCTGCTCACAGCAAGCTGAGGCGGCTCAAACCACACAATGAAGCACGCATGCAAGATGGCTACTCTACCACTCAGTATAAACAACAGTAATTCAACAAATATTAAACTTTATACTATGAGCTAAAATAATTATATCTCATAGTTCTACAGTTGTATTATTAAAATCATCATTTTAAACATGTTTTTTTGAAAGGGAGCTTACAAAATCAAGCACCAAACAAAGGCAGGCCTCTCTCTCAGGTGAGTTTCAGTGCAGGAAGAAAGGCCCAGGTGAGCTTCCCGACCTTTTTATAGACTCTGCCCCTTGTCTGGGTCCTATTGCTAGACCTGTTACCTTCTCTTCCACACTCATGTTGTAGATTCCACCATGGAACCAAAAAATGGTCATATATAAGACTTTTGGAATAAAACTATTACACAACACTTACAATTTGTGGGGACATATGTCTGTACATAAGTACAACAAATGTACGTACCGTTGAATGTCTTCTACAAGTAGAAGGGAGACGTCTATGTTCTGCTCTGTAGTCCTTTGTTTAAATTAAAATAGTGTCAATGATTGATCACCAAACAGAAATGCTTCCACACTGCTCTCATTCAAAAACAAACTGTCTACAACTCTCCTTTACAATGACCTGCTGTTTGTGCCAGTTTGGCACACCATTCGTAGCACAAAGTTCCCAGCAGTCTGCACCTTTAGGAGGAACAACAGATTGAACAAACACGAAATGTGACCACCGCAACTTCGTTTCATTTGTCCTGAAAGTTTGCATATTGGAGTAGAGCTTTATTTACCGTGTGTCCCGTCCCGTACCAGACGCTAAAATATTCAAGTAGAGAAATATTATTTTCCGAATAAACATGCATGTGTTATTTCTCTGCAGCATCTAGTCTCCATTGCTGAGGGATGGAGGACATACCGGCCACAGATGTTCTATCAACCAAAGGAAAAATGTTTAAAAAAAAACTATGGAAGGTCACTTGCTCACAAAAACAGTGAAATTCAAGGCCAAACATTCAACCCCCTCCTCACCTTGTCATCATTGTGGTGTTGTTTTTCTTAGTTGATTGGGTGCAGTGAGGTCTTTTGCATGGAATAACATCCAAACATCAGTCTTTCTTAAAAGATCCTAACCACGTATACCAATATAAGGCCCCTTGTTATATTTAATGCTGTACTGTTGCTGTCGTTTCTGTTGGAGTGGGAGATACAGAGAAATACCCAAAATCACATGACAACCCAACATCCCTATAAGGAAAACTGCAGTGATGTGCCAGTCCAATACACCGGTGTACTGTTGATGCCAATAACTGACCTTATTAAACAGATCGAGTATTGACCATTATGTGACAGATCTACTTTACTTACAGTTTCTTTGTCAATGTCATTATAAAATTCATTGTTTCCACTACAACGTAAATTCCGACGGTGGCTCACGACGAGTTTAAAGCAACAACTGGACTGTTTATTCCAGTGTAACTGAAAGCTTCTGATTCTCTTTTAGGTTAAAGTATCGTAGGTTGTCAAGGAACTTTTCCTTTTTAATCTTAAGAAAACATTTTCCATTTGTCTTTTCCTCCACTTTCAGCCTTTAATGCCATCAGGCCCTATTCCTATTACAACTTCCTGCATTCCTTACAACACACACACACGTAATACGCGTCACTCTTCTCCACCAGAAGTGTCATTCCTTCCAACGCCCAACCTTCCCTGAACACACTCCCACTGTTTCTGTAATAAATAACATTGACTATACATAGTGACGTACTATCCACTCTGTGAGGAACCAAACACTTTGCTGGCATTTCGCTTTTATCTGCTGTTTTGTTATTTTGAGTTGAGTTTCTCATCATTGCTTTGCACTGAACCTCCCCTTTGTGCAACACACTTCCTGTGAGTAAGGCTGTGTGAGATATATTTATGACAGGGTTGGAGAAGGGGCGTTTATTCTTTCTGTCGTGGATATGTTTGCAAACTGAGAAGGCAAAATGCTGTGTGCACATAGCTTTGGAAGTACAGTTTGGCTTTCTATGAATCTGACAAGGCAAATAAATCACAGAATAATCCAGAACAATAAATAATTCAGATACACAAACTCACTTTCCATTCGAGATCTTTTGATGGCACTCCAAATCTGAAAAGACTCCACGAGCTGCACGGTTATCGTGTTGTTTAAGTGTTGTTTCTCCCAGAATGTGCCCCCGTGTCTGTCGAGGAAACCCAAAAGGGCTGAGTCAGAGATCCCATCTCTTCCGGAGGCAGGGCCAGCGGTGCTCTCCTTTGAAAGGCAACATGGAAAGATCAGTGGGCATCTCCTGAGGGAGCCACTGGGCCATACTGTGCTGTTGCCCCGTGGCCAAACAGCCCTGGGGCCTGCAGTTTTGGTGCTGCTGCTGGATTAGCTTGTTCTGTTTACTTTGGGAGGACTTTCAACCCTGTGCAGCCATCAAGATCTCTGCATTTTCCCTCTTTGTCTGTCTACCTCTCTTCTCTCCCCTCTTTCCAGCTTTTGATCACGTATCACTCCCGCTCTGTCCCGAAGCTGCAACTCTGTGACAAACATCACTTTACAGATAATAACTGCAAGCTTGCCGTGTGCATCAGCCTGTGTGAACGTGGTGGTTGATGTGACCCTCAGCTCATGCGAACATCCATCCACATGAGAATGCAGGGAGTATTTCTGCGCTGTTGTGTTTATATTTCCTCCCTTGCAGCACCATGGATACCAGTCAGACAGTGCCAAGGTAGGGCCACCTCGTAAATTCAGAAACCTATAAATATTTGCTCGTGTTTTGAGTTCAACACTAGTTTGCATTTACATATCTGAAGGTGGTTTTGTAATTCATCTGCGTGGAAGCTCAAGGACTTAATGCCTGGTGGTCTCGGTGCACAAATTGTTTTTCATATAACACCCAGCAGCCAGTGAACACATGTCAAACTTTTCCATTTGCCATTTACAGCCAAACTCGACACTATTAACACTAGCATTGAAAAATAAAAATGGATGATCTTTGCCTAAAACTAATGGTAGTGGCTGTATGATTCTAATAAAATGTCAAAAAAGTTCGATCTTTTGCAAAAAAAAAAAAAAAAAATAGGTGCAATTACAATGTTCATCTTTAAACTGTGGATGTGGCTGTTGTTGCTCTGTAGCACATTCCTCCACACTCAATAAACTCAGCTAAATCAATATGTCAAAGAGCAGACAGATAACGCTAAGACCAGACATAAATCCTAACCATCTCTAAAATCTTTTCATGTGGTATTACTCACAGGCCATATTCGCTTAAGTACAGTAAACATTGTGACAGGTACTTTGAGCTGCTGGTTCAAGAGGACACAGGAAAGTGGATTGTGCTTTGAGCCTTCGGGGGCTGGTAGAAAAGAAAAAAACTCTTAAGTAAAAAAGCTGTCAGGAAGAATAAAGGCTTGCTTTAATGAAACATGAGCAGAATGTAGAAGCAAACCACCCAGAAAAAGCTGGAAATCAAAATCTGCAAGAATCATTTTTGGTTTGAGATGCAATTTTTAAAAACATTTATTTCCCCATATACTATATCTCCATAGATATCCTTGCCTTGCATTGGCCAGTCTTGATTTCCCTTCCCAATCATGGAAACATCTGAGAATGTAAAGCCAGTTTGTGTTCCGCCAGCGAGAAATGGGGAGTTAGAACATGGCTGTGACTGCCTCTCACACAAGTATGCCTGAGTAATATTAATATCATGCAAGAATGGGGTTCTTTCCACATCTTCAAAAAATACTGATTGTTTTTCTGTAAAACACAGGGTAGCTGTAAAGTCATTTGCATTACCAGAACAATTTATTGGACTGAAATTTAAATAAAAGAATTTCTTGTAAAAATAAAAAAATGAAACAACAGCAAAAGAAAATGAAGCGAAAATAAACATATTTCCAAAAAAATAAATAAGTCCAGAAGAATGAATGGCATGCCCTTTTTGGATGAAGCAAGTTGTGAAAGAAAAAAGATAAGAAATAACCCTCTTTATGCCAAGTTTCACATGTAACTGGTCAGACTGCCTTCAGGTTTAAATGGCCCAATGATTGTGTTTTGGCCTAAAATGATTTTTGGAGTCTCCGCCCACACCACTGCTAGAGGACATGGAGAAAAACAGTGTGGAAATTCAAACATAACCACTTCAATTTTCATTTTGCTTTCCACCCGTGCAGCTGTGAATTCAAAATCTGTGCCACAGAATCGAATGTGCCTCCTGATGAAAACATCGCATCGTTATATATAACTTGCTTGATTCTATTATTCCCTTTTTCAATTAACACCTCATTATGTTAAACTACCACGGCCACGTTACACTCCCTTTAATCCTCACAGTGATTAGTCAAAGTCATCACAATAACATGTGTTTTTACAGAGGTGACCTCACTTTCTGCTTTCTGTCTAATTTTGGTGTAAAATGACGCAGTTGTACATGCTTGCATTGTGAAAAGTACACATTTTACAGTGAGTCAGGTAGTCAACAGTCTTCTTCTGCAGTTTATGTCTTGTAACATAAAGGTCAGTGGGCCCAAAGCTATTCTGGGTGTGCTTTGTTCAAACAAGGCATCCAAAGAGTTTTTGTAGTACCTTAATGCTAACAGCTGACATTTCAGAATAAAAATAAATGGTCTGAAAGAGTTGATTATTTGCATTATTTCAGTAAATAATTAAACAAAACCATTAGATGACGCAGTCATTTATACCCTGTTTAAACCAAACTAGTTTCAGTCAAATACAGTAAGAGCTTTCAGCGGAAAATGTGCAGATTCAACACTACTGTATTAAAAACAACCCAAAAACTAGACATCAGAATGGTTTAACTTCTACTCTATATTGATATCTTTATTAACAATCATAGCCATGTTTTCAACAATGGAAGATTTATAAATACGTTTCACTTTTGATTCATAAAAGTTGTCTTGGCACTTGTGGCATGATTCCAGTTGTGGAAAGAAAACAAAAACAAAAATCTAAATGTCCTTATAGAATATAGAGCTTTATGAAGCAGTGGTATCCAATCAACAGCTTTTTCTTCGGAGAGGAAATCCATTATGTACATGATGGCTTTATTTTAAGAAAGGAGATCTGGTTCTGTGCCATGGTGGATGGGATGAGATATCGACTGCATGGCGGGTCCAGGCACCATCCAAAGCCAGCCACCTGATTGATCATCTGGCCTGGCGATCCCCTTTGTTGTTTTTTAAGGCAACAAGATCCCCCACACCAATCTGGAAACCAATCCCAGCTATTCCACGCTCGGTTCAAGCTTGCAGTGTGACTGAAGGTCGCCTCACCCTCCTTTCCACCCTGTCCGACTCTTCTCGCATCAGCTGCGAGGAAGGAAACAAACATTGCCCACTGAATACTTCCACACTACATAGCATCCAGACAGAGGGGCCACGGATTGCCGTCCTTCCAAAGATTTAGATGTTCAAGCTAAGGCCATGGGGCACCAGGGTTCAACCCTCACTGAAGCTACATCTGATGGCTGGGACAGACCCACGCTGGTGTACAGGCCATCCTGTCCCGGGTACTTCACCGCTGAGCCGGTTCCCTCCCCTGAGCTGGACAGCACAGACGAACTGACCTGCAACACCAAAGCAAATATTGCATTATTAGCCTAGTTGAATTATCAAAGCAGACATTTATTGAATAGAAAAAGCAGTTGTCTCTGGAATGTGCTTGGTGTTTGGCTTTTGGACTGAGATGCCCCAAAAGCACCGGCTCTTCAGCAACATGAAGCTCATCTCACTGAATGGTGACAAATGCTACAAAACTTTCAGTTTGTGCACTACGAAATATTCAACTCTGGGGATCCATCAAGGAAAAGGTTTGAAATAAAAAAGAACTGTAAAAATGGTATGTTTTAATAAAATATTTATTTCAGGTTTACTAAATAACAAACTCCACATATAATATATTTCATTCTTTTAATTGAAATTTGGCAAAAATACATTTTAATCTAAAAATAAATAAAATAATATCAATAATAATAAGTCTTACCCCTGACACCTGTCCCGTGGGAGAGCTGGTTTTCGAGCAATCTTCAGAATTAGAAGAAGATGTGGATGTGGGAGTCATAGAGACAGAGTTGTTATTTCCTAAAAAATATATATATAAAATATATTGTTGAGATCATATTATAAAAAAACAACTTTTTGATGATAATTATCCACAAGAATATGACTAATAATTAGCAGTGACTCACCAGAGGATCCCTTCGTCTTATTCAAGGTCTTCGGTTTTCTTTTTCTTGTCTGGATTCCCTCTTTCTTCATGGCGAGCGGCCGAGGAACCTGCAGATTTGATAATTTATAGAGACCAATTATAATTTTGATTTATGATGTGGGTATAAGCTTTGAAGAAATGTGACATAACATCTTAACTCACCCCGTGCAGTTTTGTGTAGAGCCCACACGCGTTACACACGGGCTCTCCCTCCGCGTTTCTGCGCCACAAAGTGGTCGTGCTGGTTTGACAATTAGCGCAGGACAGGCCGATTCTTCTGGAGGTCGACTGGTGACAAAAACGTAACGTTGAATTAATGATTATAATCAATACATAACTGGAACAGAGATGATGGTGGAGTCTTTGTCTGTCACAGTTAAATAAAATGCATTTAAAGTGAAAGCCACTCTCCACTAATTTAATTACACTTCGACCATTCACGCCCTATTTCCTAACAATAATACGCGTCCTATTATGATCTCCATTCAACTGTCATTTACGCACGGCTTTTAACAGGGTGTTTATTTTCAAGGCGTCTATACTTGACTTCAGATTCCATGTAAAAACTGTGCGTAATGCGCGCAATGGCACCAGGAAAAGATCTGCCCTGATTGTCACTCATTAAGATGTGATTACCCAAACAAAGACACTGAATAGGATGACAGATTCAATGGCTGATTAATTATGTTAACAAATATCTCCATGTATATGTGGTTTTAATCTAATTAAGTCTATGCCTTCAGTTAAACTAAATGATGGGACATTTACTAATAGACCTCTTCAAGAGCAAATCTTCCAAACTCGCATCAACTTAATTTATGTGATTGCTGGCTGATACATTTATATTTAGGTAATGTGTTATACATTTGCACAAAAAACACATGTATTTTACATTATCCGTGACAGATACGATGATACCAAAATGATTCGGTGAAAACCCCTGACCTAGCTTGATAAATCACAAAAATATTTTCTCATCTAGACACTATGGATATCATCGGCGATAACCTCCTGTCGTTGTTTGAAACGATTAGGGAGGAAGCTGAGCGGGTGAAGTGTCCCCCTGCTTACCGTCCGTTTCTGTGGTTTAATTAATGGCCGGCTCAGCCCATTCATTTTGCTGTAGAGGCCGCAGGCGTTGCAGAGAAAGTGGCCCGTGCCGTCGCGCCTCCAGAGAGGCGTGGAGATGGAGCCGCAGTTCACGCACTCTCTGCTCTCCCCCATGTCGTCGAGGATATCTGAAACTAAAAAGAAAGACTTTAGTCAGTAACGCAAAACTTTAAAAACATGCCAACAGGTTGTACTTTTCACGAGGAACTTTGTTATCTTGGACTTCGCTATGGAGGGGGAAACTAATCTGATCCATGCCTTTTCATTTAAACTTTTTAAAACCTTTAGAATATTCCATAGTTACACATATTTTGGCCTACTTTTGTTCTTAATTGCAGGACTTACACACGTGCGCACTTTCAGACCAAATGAGGCCCAATTTTAAACATGGTGGTAGTTACTTTATCAAATATAGTTTGGGTGGGTTAATTCTTTTTGATATTTTTAAGCTCTGGCCTCCGCAGGGAGATCAGGTTCAGTGCGAACTGTAATTTCAATGCCCTACCGAAAGACGCATCAGCATTTGCATGCCTGATTAAAGGAATTTACTCATTATCATTATAACTGTGAGAATGACAATTATTCCATCATGTCCTTTTCTACTTTGCATTCTCTTTTTCTTACCTCCGTTTGGTCCTCGAATCAAGGGCGCGCCTCTGCTCTGCAAGGTGTGCAGCATCGTGTTATCAAAAGGTCCCCCGGTCCAAGGCGAGGGCAGCTGGGACAGCTGCGGTGCAACATATGGAGAGTATGGACTCGCGTAGGTCCCACTGAGGGGCCGAGACAGGCCGTACTGGTCTCTGCTGCTCACGTTCAGCGTGTTGCTGTAGCCGCTGTCCCTAGGCGTCCCGTTATTCATGGGCGGGCTTGGAGGGTAGTGGAACCGACTAGAGGTGTGCGGGCTCCCGGTGCTGTATGATGGGCTCTCCGGGGCGGACTGCGACCAGACCGAGTGGCTGGAGACGGCGTGGCTGGGCTGCACAGAGCCGCTGGCCTGCAGATACGAGAGGCTGGGTATCATGGGGCCCACCCGCGAGCTGGGGACATACACGGGGGAGTTGGGGTTGGAGTGCATATAACCACCAGAGGAGGAATCATATCCAGTCTGGCTCTGGGCTGCGGCGATGGCCAGTGTTTGGTACATGTCGGTCGGGTCCACCAGCAAGCTCGCCTTGTGCGCTCCGCTCGTGAGGACGAGTTTGCCGCCCTGGTCTAAATCCGTAAACAGCGGGATGTCCTCGGCATGGGTCAGGGTGTTGCTATGGTGTCCGAAGTGAACGTAGGAGTGTAGTGACCTGCCGTCGGAGCGGCGGTGCCCCAGCGCGTCAAGGTCGATCGGAGGAGTCCTCAGCTCATCCGAGGTGGGACCGTCCCTCCTGCTGTCACCGGACAGGTAGGTATGCTCAGCCGGCGAGCCTGGGCTGCTGGATACTTCTCGCTTGACCATGGACCAGCTGTTTTCGCCCAGGTCCATCCAGGAGCCCTTTCCATACACCGTAGTGTTAACAAAAATCGTGAGGGAGTAGTCTACCCTGTAACAAATAATAAAAAAAGAAGAGTTGGAACCGTTAGGATTGTAAATCAGGAGAAAATAAGCTTTACTCGTAATGCACAACTGCATTTTAAATGTGTTCCCAAAACATCTGGATAAATCTACCTCTGTTGCACAACTCGCTTTCATCTTTAAAAGAGCAGCCTAAATTCTGTCAATTAAAAAAAAAACTAACTATGGATCTGACTATTCATTCTACGGCATGTCTGGCTCCGTATCATCTATAACTCCAATAAAACACATCCAATGCGCGCAGTGACTTCCATACTCCCATCAAGCGCTCTTAAGAGGCACTGCTGGACCCGTCCATGTCAAATCTCTGTCCTCCCCCACACACAAACACACACACACACACACACACACACACACACACACACACACACACGTAACGCAAGTACACACACATACCCATAACAGATAGGAAACAAAACGCAATATGTCTTCACAGCAAAAGAGATAACCGTTTGATAAGACCCGAAACAGATAAGAGGCCGAGAGGCAGGCTGGAGCGATAAAACAATACCCCGAAATGATGGTTGAGGTCCTGCGGCGCTCACCGCCAGATGTTTAGTTTGGCATGACGGAGAAAAGACGGTGAGAGAGAGAAGGAGAAGAAGAAGGAGAGGAGACATTAGTCGCTTTCCACCACATACCTGCTAGTTATGTGCCATAGGTCGCACGCAAAGTTCCTAATAGCGAGCCGCTGCTTCTCCTGGAAGTAATGGGAAACGTTCTCGTGGTCTGACGAGGTTTATGAGAGGAGGCGCTTCTGGTGGCTGCGGCTGCAGGAGGCGGACCAATCATGAGGAGTGTGAGCGGCTGGAGACACGATGGGGGTGCCAGCCTTTAAACTCCTCCAATCAATCACACGGAGAAACAGAGAGAGAGAGGGGGGGGGGAGAAACAGAGAGAGAGAGAGAGAGAGAGAGAGAGAGAGAGAGAGAGAGAGAGAGAGGGAGAGAGAAAAAGCGACTTGATCATGTCTGAAATATAATAATTTGCATTCACGTTTCAGTTTCCAACAACTATGTTTTGGACAGAGATGGAGCTCCACCCGTTCTTATTTGTTTTGCTTCTTAATGTAATTAAATGTATTTGATCAACACCGGTCTAAAGTCTGATTTATTTCATTTTCCAGTATATCGTTATGCTGCTGCTTTTCTTTTCTTTTTTAAGCGTTGGTTTAAATACGTTCCTGAAATATATTCAAAACGTTCTGCCGATTAAAACGGTGAAACGTAACATTTAATTTAATACATTTAATCATTTTCTTTCCATTTTTACTTGAGTGTCTCGAGTTTCAACTCTATACTTCTACTTCACTCAATTTCAGAGGGGAATATTGTACTATTTACTGCACTGTATTTATGTGAAAGCTTTGTGATTTATACATAACAATCGGTCGGTTGATAAAATAGAACAAATTATCCCACAATGAAACTACCCAACAGCATAGCATGGAATTAAAATTAGCTCCAGATCGACCAACTGTCACAGTAAAATGCTACTTCCTCGTTAATGAACCATTAACAATTCAATCACAATTATTTAAGAAATAATATAAAACAACATATCAATCCCAGGGTTGTCTGCATAACACATAATATCATAATACCTCTGTATTCCTTCTGAAGACAGATTTGTTTACGCTGTTCTTTTTGCTGCTTTTACGTTAGTAAAATATTTAAATACGTCTTCCACCATTGGATGATTATTACATCTATTCAAATTGTGTTTAAGATGCACTTATAACTGCTGACTAAATTCACAATTGCCATACGTCATTAATTAATACAATGTATTTTATTTAGGAGTAATGTGACAACTGAAATGTAGGTTTATTTATCCTACACGTGTTTTTAATTCTGATCTTCATTCAAGCTAAAAGTCTCGATTCGGGCTAACGTCTTCCTCGTTGTTTATTCTGTATGTTCACCTCCGTGATCAATACATCTCCCTCCTAATTAGTTTATTTAAGTCAGACGCTTTCATTCAGGATGAAGTGGCTCGAGCTGTGCAGCAGCAGCACAAACTCTCCGCACTCCTCCGCTCCCGCTTTGAGCCGCGATGATTCGTTCAGCCGGAATATACATGTCGGTGAGTGAAGTGATCAGAAGTAGCGAGGTGTCAATCGAATCATTCACTCATTTACAGCTCGTCCTCGTGCGTGTTCATCACAGAGGTTCACAAACAGTTCCCCGGTTCATCACACTCACAGCCATTCAGCAAGTCGTTGTGTCTGTTTACATTTAGTCTGGATGGGAGGTGAGCTGAGGACTGACGACTGAGCTGATCTACTAATACTACAAATACTACCCAACTGGAGGCTGCAGGGAGACCTTTTTCTAATATGAATACTGCTGCTTTTAAAGGGCCGCTGCAATATACAGACCGTTTACTATTTACCATTTAATACTAACATTTACTATTAATAATATAACCACTATTACTGACATCTGACACTGTGAACTGGCTGTACTCACCAATGAATTGATAATTTAGCACTAATATTGTAAATATACTATATATATTACTATACTAACCTTTCTATTACTGCAACTACTTGACCAATGCATACTGAAGGCCTGTGGACTCCCACTACTATTTCACTGCAGTCTGTACTGGAAGCTGCAGAGCTGGACTCACAATTGTACTATACTAATATACAGCATTGCTAGCAATCATTATAATTATATTGAGAAATTAATCTTTTTTTAATTGTTTTCATTTATTTTTTACAAAATGAATAATATTTCTACCATTGCTATTAGTATTACGATCACTACTGTTATGGCTACCAATACTACTTCTGCTACTACAACCGATACACTACTGAGTATTATTATTAACCTACTGTTACTTTTTATACTATTATTACTTCTTCTGTTGTCACAAATACAACTACTTCTATTATTACACAGAATAATAATTTAAACTTTTATTTTATTTTTGGCCTATGTGTTCATAACGTCCTTGTGAATTACTGAGGGGTCATAGTTGAGTTAAGTGTGTGTCCATGTATGAATGAAAACACAGCATTACTTCTGACTTAAATATCAGCTGCTATTAGGCCTACACTACAGTTGCCACTATTTTTGAGACTATATTTCTGCTACTTTGAATGTCTAAATTGAGATAAAAATGGTCTGTGGCTCCGTGTTTCCATTATCTAGTGTGTTGGATATGGAAGTCAATAGAAGTCCCTGGATCTGATTAGACTGCAGTTCCAAGTTCCCACAGCTTCAATAACTCTGCTCACATCAATTCCCTTTTGGGGATATTTCATTACATTTACGCATTAAGACAAGTAGGTCTTCAGTCTTCTGTCCGCTCTCAGTTGTAAACACGGGATCAATGCGGACACGTTGTGTGACAGCCAGAGAGATTTTGGAGATGTGATTTTATCAGAGGGAGTAACCCAACCACGCGCTACTGTCTCCCATCCCATCGTCTCTGTGAGCAGTTGTCAGGGAGGTGCGAGGATACAGAATCCTGTTGGTTTTTGTCCCCCCCCCCCCCTTCTTTTTACTCTCTGGCTGCGGAGCCTCGAGTTGATGAACGAGGTGTTTTTTGCAGTGATGTCAAAGTGTGCTGCTCTGACACACGGAGCCTGTGAGGAGAAGTGGCAGGACGCCGCCCTGTCTCCACATTTATCCACAGACGGTCAAACACTGCGGGCCTGCATGGATGTCAGCCACGGTAAAGAGACACAGGCCAATAATCTAATTATCTTTCCCATAAATTCACTGGAAAAACACATATGTTGTTATTGTAGAGGAACGGCACTACTGTGACTGATAATAATAGTAACAATAATAATAAGAATGAAACGAATAATATAATACAGTAAAGTATTAGATTAAATCGCATTTACATATGAGAATGGTAATTTCAACAATATCAACAATAATTCCTGTCCCGCTCCGAGTATGAGACAATAATATAAAAATATTGTAGCTATATTGGTTTCGTTAGAACAAAAGAAAACAAAAAGAAACAACAAATAATAATATAATAATAACAATAACAATGATAATATAATGATACTAATAATAGTAATAACAATCTAGCCAATGTACATTTTAAGCCTCTGTTTCCTAAAATGATCAGAGTTTGTACTCTTATTGATTTATTTTTTTGACCACGGCCACAGGTTTATCTGAATAATGTTTGTTTCTTTCAGAAGGTGTGCAGGCTAATGGCCGACCCTCTTCAGGTGTCAGTGCCTTATGTACCGACTTGATAATGATTATCTCCAACACTCAACTTGTTATAGCCTGCTCCTGATTAGCCAATACTGCTGCTATATGCATGCATGATGTTATGGAGATAACGAGGGTATGACGCTGAGATTCACGAAAACAAGGATCGATATCACATTATTTCCCAGTAGGAATTATTAATTGTTATGTCGATGGTGATTACTATTTCTTATTTTTAAAAAGTGGCCCGATTGCTCGTTAGTTTCTTTGTGAGTCAGAGGAAAAGCTTCTGCAACAGTTTGGATTTCTTTTCTCTGTGAGATTGGCTAATAATAAAAGACATTGTGGACATTTAGCACACGGAGGTCTCTGGTGTCTCTATTATGATTAATGAGAAACGACTGTAGGTTCATGTAAAACATGCAGGAAAGAGACTCAATTCATCATTTTAATCACCACTCAGCTGTTCTCTTTTATCTTTCAGACAATGAGTGGTTGTGTGTAGAGCCTAACATATTGTAATATGCTTTTAATTACAATAGAAGACTCATTTTGATTTGGGGAAATATTTTAAATTTGAAAGGGGGACGTTTGCACCATAATGATTTTTGCAAAATAAAATTGACCCTTTTTTTCTGTATACATTGCCAATCAATAGTATTTTTGAGTTGTATCTGCTGGTACTGTACCTCCAATGTAAAATCAGAATTATTTGACTGCATAAATATGACTACACGGCCTGTTTCAGATCGTTCTTTAAATGATACATTGCTCATATTTTAAACACACACACACACATTTTCAGATGAAATGTATGTTTTATTTGCTGCTATTATATTGGACAATATGAGGAGCCTGATGAACTTTAATAAAGCATTAATCATCAATCACTAAAAAAAGGGATCCTAAAATGGGAGATTAAATATATATAATTGATTGCATATAAAAATATAAACATTTTGTGAATATGGTGAAACTGGTTCAGTATATTGTGTAGATATTAAATGTGGCTTTTAAGGTAATCATTATTTTTCTGAATTCAAAATAAAGATGCTTTATGAATAACATCATTGCATATCTCCTCCCTATTGGAGTAAAACACATGAGTTTGGTTGGGAAATTGTCAGTCCTCCTAAAAAGTACATCTATTTTTAAATACGGACGTGATTTTTGAATTGAATGTCTTATAATAAATGATTCATTATTAGACCAGATTATTCTGTACAAGCATACATTGTATATCCTGACCCATATACCCTTAAGAGTCAGATTTTAACTTTAGATTGGCTGTTTTGTTTGTACAAACAAAAAGGTTATCTCTCATACTGAAACTGAAATGAAAACACACTCAACTCATCTATTGTAAATTTGAAAATGCTTGCAGGGTGCATCAGTTCAGTTACATCTAGCTCAATTCATGAGGGAAGTTC